ATGCTACGATATATTATCTAAATGCCCAGCTTTCTACAAAATATTACGAGTAACGCAAAATAAACAGGGAAGTACGACCTATAAGTGGGGTGCACAGCAGGTAACAGAAACTGTCCGTGAGAATGATCAGTGTCAGACATCCCAGAAAGCCTCGAAGTCGCATTCTAGAAACCCACAGAATGAAAGGAAAGCACGGCTGGAGGAAGGTGTGATGGTCCTGTCGACGATAAAGAGAGAGCATCACAGAGAAAGAAATGAACAACAACAAAACTAACCAACCACGAACCAAGTGAGAACTCTGGACTTGAACAGTACAGTACGTGAAAATTTAAAATACACCCGAGGGGATCAGCAGATCTGACCTGGTACAAAACACGAGGTTTAAAACGGATTGACAGAGACTATGCAAGCTGAAGAACTGAGAGAAAAAAAGAGAAATGACAGGGCCTCAGAGACATGTGAGACATGACTAGTAGTACCAACACATGTGCAACTAGAGTACAAAAAGGAAGTGAAAAAGAAGGAGGAATACGCCAAGAAAAGAAATGGCTGAAAACTTCTCAAATGTAATGAAAAACAAAACAACAAACCAAAACCAAAAACACACACACTCACAAAACCCCATACCTATCCAGGAAGCTCAAGGTACACCAAGCACGATAAATGCAAAGATACCCACAGACAGGTCATAATAAAAACATTAAAAGTCAAAGTTGAGAAAATCTTCAAAGTAGCAAGAGAAAAACACGATGCACCACTCACAAGACAACCCAGTAAAGCCAACAGCCGAGCTCTCAGGAGAAGCAACAGAAGCACAGCACACCCAAATGTCCAAGGGATTTCTGCGAGACCTAGCTGCTTCTCATCCTCACCAGCATTTAGCACTATCAGTATTTTAAAATTTCAGCTGTTTTGATACATGTGTAGTGACATCTAAATGTAAATTTCTCTAATGGTCAGTGAGGTTGAACAACAACAACAACAAAAAGCTTATTGTTTTCAGTCCCAGGATCCAGTCAGGACAACAATTACATTCACTTATGTCCCTCAGAGTCCTCTCGGCCTGATAGTTTCCGACTCCCCTTGCTTCTGACACCCTGAGCAGTCTGAAGAGTACTGGCCAGTGTCTAGGCTGCCATGCCGGCTGGGCCTTCCTATGCTTTTAATGGCTACACAATATGTAGTAACGTCTTGTTAGTCCTAATAGTTCTAATTTGTTTTTATCCTTTATCTTTTTCAGAGATTTAACATTACTGATTTGTTTTCAACAAATCAGCTTATAGTTTGATTTTATTAATTTTCTCTTTTTAAAATGTTTTTATTGATTTTAGAGACAAGGGAAGGGAAAGAGAGAGAGAAACATTGTTCAGCTGCCTCTTACATGTCCCTTCATGAGGATCGAGCCCACAACCTGGGTGCACACGTGCCAACCAGGAATCAAACCAGCAACCTTTGGTACATGAGACAATGCTCAATTGAGCCACACGGGCCAGGGCTTAATTTTCCGACTTCCCTAATTTCTGCTATCTGTACTATTTTTTTTTATCTTCACCCGAGGACATTTTTTGATATTTTGTTCAGATAGAGTGGGAGGGAGACAGAGAGAGAGAAACATCGACGTGAAAGGGACACATCGAGTAGTTGCCACCCGCACAACCCAAGCAGGGCTGGGGACAAACTGCAATTGAGGTACGTGCCCTTAGCGGGAACCGAACCCAGGTCTCTCGGGACAACAGGCTGACGCTCTAACTGCTGAACCAAACTGGCCAGGGTGTATCTGTACTATTTCTGCTCTGTATTTGCTTTAAGTTTATGTTGTTCTTTTTATAGTTTCTGATGTAGAAATTCTGAGAGATATTTCCTCTTGTCTAATGTAACTATTTAGTGCTATACATTTCCCTGTTGGCACTGCTTTAGTTGCCTCCCATGATTATGCTGTATTTTACTTTCATGTTCGTTTATGTATTTTAAAACATTTCCAAAACTTCCTCTTTGACCCATTACTTAGAAGTAATGTGTTATATAATATCCATAGTTTGGAGGTGTTTCTGTTGTTGTTATCTCTGTGTATTTGGTTTCTAATTAGATTCCGTTATGGGAAATGAAGATACTCTATAATTTCAATGCTTTCAAACCTGTTGAGGTTTGCTTTCTGATCCAGGATACTGTCTATCTTTACATGTTCTGTGCACATTTGAGAGAACGTGTGTTTTCTGCTGCACTTCAAGTGGTGCACAGTGTTTACTGGATGTTGGTTTGTGGTGCTCAGTTTGTCTACATCCTTGCTGGTTTTCTGTCAAGTACTTCCATCAGTTGCTGAGCATGAGAGGGCGACGTTCTGACAATCCCTGCACCTTTGCCAGTTTCTCCTTTCAACTCTACCAGTTCTGCTTCAAGTATTCTGAAGCTCTTGGTTTTTGTTGCCTCTACATTTTTTAACAGTACACAGTGTCCTTCTTTGTCTTTAGTAATTTTCTTATCTCTGAAGTCTACTCTTATTTGATATTAACATAGCTACTCTTGCTTTTTAAAAAGTTTCCACATCATCTATTTTCCATTTGTCAATATACCTACGTCAATGCATTTGAAATGAGTTTCTTATAGACAGAATATAGGTGGATCTTTTTCCCCCATACACTCTGCCATTCTGTTTTAATTCCATGTTCAGGCTATTCACATTTAAGGTAATTATCTGATATGTAAGGTTAAGTCTGCCATGTTATTATTGGTTTTCTGTTTCTTTTGTGTGCTTCTTGATGCTGTATTTCTTTTCTTTCCTTCCTGGGAATTACCTGACCAATTTTTAGTATTTCACCTTGATTTTTTTTTTTTATCCTCACCTGAGGACATTTTTCCATTTTTTGTTCAGATAGAATGGGAGGGAGAGAGGAAGAGAAAGAGAGAAACATCGATGTGAAAGGGACACATTGAGTCGCTGCTACCCACACAACCCAACCAGGGCCGGGGACAAACTGCAACCGAGGTACACGCCCTTAGCAGGAATCGAACCCAGGTCTCTCTGAATCACAGGCCAACGCTCCAACCGCTGAGCCAAACCGGCCAGGGCTTTATGAATATTATTTTAAAGCTTAGGTAAAGCAGTTCAACTGAAGTTTAATAGTCAAGAGATTTGGTGCAAATATGATTAATATGTACATATCCAAATAGAAGACTTAGGAATCATTAACATTTTAGTCCTCAAATTACCTTTCTCGATACAGTTATGAAGAATGAGTCCCAATAAGTAATAAGAATCTTTTAATATGGCTTCAAATGTTACCAGGGAAACCTTAAATGTTTTACTGCTGTGATATGGAATTCTTGTGGCATGAGATGTTTACTGCTCTGTATCTGCTTCCATCACAGGCCAACCTTCTCTGACCTGTGGAAATCTCAACCTCTTTGCAAACCCCAGGGCGTACTTGTGAGGGAGAAGAGCGGGAAAGTGCTGCCACCTCTGTGCTTCTCTTCAGACGTGGCACTGCCAGGACATCACCCTGCTCACAGTCAGTCTTCAGTGCCACCCAGCTCTGCTTAACAGCCCCGCTCACAGTCAGTCTTCAGTGCCACCCAGCTCTGCTTAACAGCCCCACTCACAGTCAGTCTTCAGTGCCGCCCAGCTCTGCTTAACAGCCCCACTCACAGTCAGTCTTCAGTGCCGCCCAGCTCTGCTTAACAGCCCCGCTCACAGTCAGTCTTCAGTGCCGCCCAGCTCTGCTTAACAGCCCCGCTCACAGTCAGTCTTCAGTGCCGCCCAGCTCTGCTTAACAGCCCCGCTCACAGTCAGTCTTCAGTGCCGCCCAGCTCTGCTTAACAGCCCCGCTCACAGTCAGTCTTCAGTGCCGCCCAGCTCTGCTTAACAGACCCGCTCACAGTCAGTCTTCAGTGCCGCCCAGCTCTGCTTAACAGCCCCGCTCACAGTCAGTCTTCAGTGCCGCCCAGCTCTGCTTAACAGCCCCGCTCACAGTCAGTCTTCAGTGCCGCCCAGCTCTGCTTAACAGCCCCGCTCACAGTCAGTCTTCAGTGCCGCCCAGCTCTGCTTAACAGCCCCGCTCACAGTCAGTCTTCAGTGCCGCCCAGCTCTGCTTAACAGCCCCGCTCACAGACAGTCTTCAGTGCCACCCAGCTCTGCTTAACAGCCCCACTAACAGACAGTCTTCAGTGCCACCCAGCTCTGCCTAACAGCCCCACTAACAGACAGTCTTCAGTGCCACCCAGCTCTGCCTAACAGCCCCACTCACAGTCTTCAGTGCCACCCAGCTCTGCCTAACAGCCCCGTGCACAGACACTCTTCAGTGCCACCCAGCTCTGCCAAATCTTGAGACTACGAGGAAACCATCAGAGAAGTTTCCAAGTAGAAGTTATATGAGAAAATGAGAAATATGAGCAAGTCTCTGCCAGCTTATACTTCCTTGTGCAATGTCTATATTTGATATTGACTCTTAAAGTCTATTAGTACAAACATTAACAATATACTACCAGCCATTTTTATTACATGTTGGTTTATCAAAATGTTATTCTTAAGTTCAACAATAAAAACATTTATTAGCGCTTACCGTGGACTATTCTGAGAGTTACACCTACGTTAAATAAACGGTGGTCTTTGGGGCTTATGATGCCTGCACCACTGAGCACCAAGGAACTGCCATGGAATACGTCCACGATGCAGCCCAGCCCCTCCCACAGCCACACCAGGCCAAGGAGGCCGTCTCCCACCCCGAGGAGCCGGCAGCAAATGATTTTACTAGAAATGCATTCATTAGACTGAGTTTCCAATAAAGTACATATAGCTTTCTCAGGCGAAAGATAGTTTTCCAAATTTTTTGGCCAAACGTACACTTTGCCTAAGATAAACACTAAAGTGTCAAGATTTTATCATAAGAACTTAAGGTTTTTTAGAAACTGGAAAATTATGTTTCTGTCTATTCCACTAAGGTGGAGCACAGGCAAGCGAAAGGCCCACTTCGTGCATCAGCACTGGGGTCTCTGGGGGAGCTAACCTTTGACCCGGACGTCGCTGTAGCGCTGGAAGTGGTGGTAGGCAGCTTTCCAGGGGTTCCGGTAGTGGCGGAGCAGAGTGATGGGAGGCCTAGGGCGCACCGGGACGTACCTCACACCTTCTTCGTCTATTCAAAAGGAAGAACAAGATGTTAAATCACTTATTGTTCCTTCGCCACAACCCTCAAGGTATAGTTCCAGTAAGCGAGCCACAAGTGAGATCGCCCACGTGACCAGCTCTGGCGCTGAGCCCTGCCTGGAGTGGGAAAGCCCGCGCGACAGCACTCAGCTGTGGGCATTACCAATATACTCCTTGGGAGGAGACTTGCGCTTCTCCGCTTTCACTGAAAGGCCCTTGGCGGTGGACCGCTCATCGTCGGTGCTGTTGGTCTCCATCATGTCTCCCTCTTCTGTAGAGATCACATGCTGCTGCTTTCGAGGCTTCTTCCTTGGGGAGGCGCCGGGCGGCAGGTCGCTTGTGGGCACGGATAAGTTGTTAGCCAGCAATGCGAGAGATGGTGACAGAGCGCTGGCAGCCAGTGGAGGGACTGCTGTCGTGGGGAAAGGGGCACGCGTATGTGAGAACCCAAACGTGATGGAAAGCGTCACCTGTTCCACCAATGAGAGCGAGTCAGTAGGAGAGAGAAATGTTCATGGAGTGCTGCTTGGTGGCTGGCACTGTGCTGAGTCCCAGCTGTGGCAGGACTGCCAACTACTTCCTAATGGCACACACCCTCCCCTTCCTCAGCACGAGGACCCTCACTCAAGAGAGGGCAGGACCTTCTGTTCCTCGTCCCTTATCGTGACTGTGGACTCAGATGTAACAGCTGGAGTTCTAGCACGTTCCGGAATGAAAAGCACCAGTGTCAAATGCTAGGGGTGCCATAGCATGGGTCCCTAATGATTGAGTCTACACATCATCTCTGAACTGTCTGCCTCAGGATTTTCTCCAAGGGGGACAACAAAACCTACATGTCCAAGCCACTATTTTCAAGCCTTTGAGCATTAGTTCCTAGAAATTAGCCTATTAAATCATGTAATATTAAAAATAATCTGAATTAGTAGGCATTATGTTATTATCCCCAATTTAAAGACTGAGAAAATAAGGCATGAATCCTGTAAGTCCGAGAGGGCAGGGTGGGGAGCCGACGGGCAGCGGGGCGTCACAGCGTGGACTCCGCACCCGCACCTTCACAGAGGGCGTCCAGTGTGAAGGAGACGTTCCTCTGGGCTTGTATGGAGCATACATCTGGGGACTTACAATCATGATAAAGCCCACCTCCCCTCTTGTTTTCCCTCTACCAAACACTGCCATCCTTTTCCTCCACCTTCCTCAGCCACTGACTCGCAACAGGCCTACTTTAAACACGGTCATCGCATCTCAATTTCTAACATCTGATTCTCCAGCCAAAACCAAGGATTTTTCCAGGTCATGCCCCTTAGTAACAGGTCTCCAACAATCTCTAGTCCCCACTAGGAACTATTATCTATTAATCCTACCTTTTTTCATTTTTTGCTGTTACTTATCGCTCTCCTGTTACTAGGTTTTCTCTGGTCCGCGGGCCAACATTCTAACTGCTGAAGCAAACCAGACAGGGCCTGTCACTAGGTTTTAATTCTACCATCAATTTTACTTACTTTATTCATTCACTAGCCCTTCTTTGCTTCAATATACTCACTTAACAAAAGCACCACAAGTGAAACACAACTCTCCAAGTAGTCTGCACCTGTGCAGCTGCAACGTTACTACAGGGAGATACAAAGTAACGCTGACTGCTCTCAGGCTCACATGCTCACTAATGCCAGCAGGCCCTTGTTGCTGCGGGACAATTCTATCTGATCTGTGAAGTCCATTCGCTCTCCGCACCATTTCACCCTTCTCCTCCCTCCTCACACCTCCAGCATCTCCTTTATAAGCCTCATTCTCAGTTGATGACCTTGCTTTCATTTAACTGAAGAAAAATAAAATAAAAGGAACAATCAGAAGAAAATAATCCATAAATGTCTACCCACTGTGACCAAGTTTCTCCTTTTTCTTTGTGTTTTCAGCAAAGACAGATTCCTTCACATGCACAGTAGATCCTAACCACTCTCATGTCTTCAGACATTTACTCCAGGAACTTGAATCTCTTTCCTGCCTCAATATTTTCCTCTCTACTGGATCATTCCCATATGAAACTGTTATTTGTCCCATCTTACAAATATTTCCTCTTGGCATCATTTCCCTTCAGATATTGGCCTTCCTTTTTTCTATCCCTTTATAACAAATCCTTCAAGTATTGATTATACTCACTAATTATACTCATTGTCTCCAATGCTTCTCTCCAAGCTTTCTCATGAACCAACTTCCAACCTTACTTTGAACAATATCATTACATGAAAACTGCTCTTGTCAAGACCTTCATATGTTGCTGAATCCAGTGGTCACTACTCAGTCCTTATCTTTTTTTGTTGTTGTTGCTAATTCTCATCCTTCATCCAAGGATATTTTTTTTCCACTGATCTTTTTTTTTTTTTGAGGAAGAAAGAAAAAAGGAGGGAGGGAGGGAGGAGGAGGAAGAGAGAGGGAAAGAAACATCCACGTGAGATGGACATATCAACTGACTGCCTTCTGCATGACCCGACCAGGGCCAGGGACGAACTGCAACTGATTGGGCAATATTTTCCCTGAAATATTCTTGTACTGGCTGACAGAGCATCACACACTCCCAAGTTGTATTCTGGCCCCTCTGGCCCCTCACGCAGCCTTTGTGTGCTCTGCCTCCTCTCCCTCCTCATAAAGCTCAGTGCCTGGAGAAGCTTAGTCCACAACCACTTCTGTTTTGTATCTGCACTCATTCCTTATGTGATCTTATCCGTGCTCGTAGCTTTAAAAATACACGTACAACAACAGCTCCCAGTTCATGCCTGCAACTTCTTTCTTATTCCAAAGCCAGGCTCACAGATCCAATGGCCTACCTGATAGGTCCACTGGGAGATCTAACAGGTTCCTCAAAATCGCCACACCAAAAACGAACTCCTAACCTCTCCCTATAATGTGGTCCCCTCCTGCAACCTTCCCCATCCCAGCTGATGGCAACTCCACACTGCCAGTTACAACAACTGAAAGTGTTGTCGTTGACCCTGCTGCTGTTCTCTCACACTCAACGTCCAATCTTGAAAGAAATCCTCACTTTTACTTTAAAAATATATCTAACATCCAACCATTTCATATCACTTCTGTTGCTACTACCCTGGTTGAAGTCTTAACTGTTCTTTGCAATAACCTCTAAGAAGGTCTCCCCAATCCATCCTTGTTCCCAGTCTTTTCTGTACACAGCAGCCAGAGTGGTCTGTTAAAAAACCCAAGTGACCTCAAGTCCCTCCTCCGCTCAAACCCTCTAAGAGCTCTCACAGAGACCCGCAAAGCCCACCCCCTCACAAGGGCCCACGGCTGTCTCAACCTTGTCCCTCTGACCTGCTGTCGGCCACGTCCTCACGCACTCTGCTGCACCACTTGGCCCTGCTCTTCAGGCCCAGGCCTGCTGCCGCCTCCGGGCTCTCACTCCAGTGCTCTTGGCGTGGAAGGCTCTTTCCCAGGACTTCCCCTCCTTCATGTCTCTGCTCCAAGATCACTTTCTCCATAGGCCTACCCTTTAAGTCTTTCAAACATCACAGCTCCAGCCCCAACTCTCCCTTATATTTTATACCTACTTTATTTCACTGTTTGTCACACTTGCTAGGGTGTGAGCTCCTAGATGATGAAGCTGTGCTTTTCCACCTGGGCTGTGTCAGTAGTTCATAAATGTCTTACACTGACCGCTACTTCTGTAGTTATGAAAAACAAGGTCCACAATAAATTTTGAAAAAACAAACAAAAAAGAAAACCTCCAAGGTGACCTGCCTTTTACAAACTGAGAGCTTATAGTAGAATAGAGGGAAAAGGAATAATTAACAGTTTTAAGATTTTACTAATCACATGTAAGTTTGTTTTCTTTTTTTCCTTAATCCTCACCTAAGAATATTTTCCCATTGATTTATTTCAAATAGAGTGGAAGGGAAAGGGGGAAGAGAGAGAGAAAAACATCAGTGTGTCTACATATTGATTGGTTGCCTCTCACACGACCCTGACTGAGGCCGGGGATTGAACCTGCAATACCCAGGTACGTGCTCTTGATTGGAAATCGAACCTGTGACCCTTCGGTCCAGGGGCCGACGCTTAACCACTGAGCCAAACTGACCAAGGCAAAAGAATATTTTCAATAACAAATCTAACTTTACTGCACAATAAACTAACAAAAATTAGCAGGAAACAATTGTAAATAATCACTACTTAGCTATAATTGTATCTTCTTAACATGACGGTATTTTCTCTTTTTGGGCAATATTTTCTTAATGAATAAGAAAAAGCTGTATTGAAGGATATGTAAATATCCTTGGGGAAACATTAATCTTTTTCATGATTTTGGTTAAGAAATAAAATTATAAAGCCAACAAAATAGTTTTAGTTTTCAAAAGAAGTTTCCATTAATTAAAAAGTAATAAAATGAAAATTTTAAATGAGAATGGAGCCTGGCCAATATGTCTCCAAGAGGTCACCAGTTCGATTCCCGGTCAGGGCACATGCCCAGGTTGTGGGTCCGATCCCCAGTGGGGGGCGTGCAGGAGGCGGCCAGTCGATGTTCTCTCTCATCGATGTTTCTCTCTCTCTCCCTTTCCCTTCCTCTCTCTCTAAAATTAATGAAGAAAAAATAAAAACAACCCACAAAGCTGACCAATATGCATTAAAAAGTTTTTAAAAATGAGAATGGAGGAGTCAACATTCCTGGTGGAGGATACCAGAAGTTTGGACTCTGAGTGAGGAGTCAGGAAAGGGGAAGCAGCAGCTGCCAGGAGTCTTCTTCGAATGAACTCACCAGAAACCGGTCTCATGATGTCCATTGGCTCCGCCTCTTCTTTGACTTTTATCTCAGGCACAGGAGGGCCCAAAGCAGAGGAGGAGCTGCCACCCACAGCCGCTGGGGGCAGAGGGGCAGCTGCCATGGTGGTGACAGGCGGAGTGATGGGGACAGCTCCCGGAAGGGTAGAGAGGGCGACTGCTGGCTGTGACGGGGGACTGGCGGCTGCAATCATGGTGGGGATGGCCGGGGGGGGCTGCTGAGCGGTGGGAGGGACTGCGATGGTGGGCTGATCATTATTTTGATTGGACACAGTTTCCATGGACACAGTGACTGGAGTGGCCATTGATACGTGGATTTCTGACTTAGGCTTGGCACTGAAACACAAAAGCAAAGATAATGTAGCAAATAGCAGAGAATATCCTTAACTTTCGACATCTCAGAGATGAGTATTTGTCCAATTCTCTGGAAAACACACAGCAAAACTAAAACACTTCTTGATTCTAAAAGTTGAACTTTCACATTTTAAAGGGAATTGTAGTTTTAAAAATATCCCTTCCTTGCCCACCCACCATGTTTTCATAAGCAGCAATAAAATTACTTTAGAAAACCAAGTACATTGTAAAGAAATCAGTTACATCATCAAAATACAACCAATTTTCATTACATTGTGCATTTTCCTCTCATAATTCCTTAATGCATGTGTTGTCTCAGGAGGTATTTTAATTGATTACAACTGAACTCGTACTTCATATGTAGTTTCTCTTATAAAAGAGGAAATTCATGCACATGGCAAATATACAAAAGAATACAAATTAGAAGTGATTTGGCATCAGTTCACACACCTCACCCTCTATCCAGAGGCACCACTCTTACAATTTTCCAGTACATTTTACCAGAGATACTTCAGGCATCTAAAGTGGCTACAAATAAAGTGTTTAAAATGTATATCCTATTTTTTCAGGGTTAAAAAAAATGTATTTATTGATTTTTAGAGAGAGCAGAAGGGAGAAAGAGACATCACTCGGAGAGGGGAACACTGACAGGCTGCCTCCTGCACACCTCCCACCAGGACCCACCTGCCACCAAGCATGGCCCGATCAGGAGCTGACCCAGCAACACTGCGGTGTGCAGGATGACACCCAACCAACTGGACCACAATGGCCCGTTTTTTCAATTTTATAAGAACAATTCATACACGTCATTACAACTTCTTCTTAAACATTATATTTAAGTAAAATATTTCTTTAATAGCTGTAAAGGTTTACCTACATATACTACTACTGCTGAAAACTCAGATACTCAAAACAATACCAAATAATATCCCTTAACACAACTGAAATTCCACAGGCAAAAAATTCAACACAGACCTATACTTGACACCATATACAAAAATGAACTCAACCTGGGTCGAAATCTAAGTGTAATCTACTCAGAAACTTTGAAAGGAAATGCTGGAGCATGGAATCCTGATAGGGGCTGAAAAGCTCAACGTATTTCTGGCCATCATGGAAGCAACACCCAGGGCTGTGCACACGTCCCGGGAAGAACTAAAAAGGACCTAAGCGCTCCTGTTAGCTGACTGAGGCTCCGTACCAGCAGGAGAAGCAGGGTGAGGCAGAGCTGTAACCTGCCTGCCAGAGTGTTAATGGGGAACCCCAGACACATACAGCCCCTTGGCAAACAAAGGGAGACTTACTGGTTCCAGGTATTCAAGGAAATCTATTCCATCATTAGCTGACTAGAAAATTAGCCAAGAAGAGAATTTAGTGGCCACACAAGAGAAATATATGTATTTAAAAAATTAGTTTGGATAAGTAAACAACAAACTACAACAAACAGCAACAATGACAAATCCTGGGGAGGGGTGGATCTCTGATTTTCAGAGTTGCCACATTATATAGCTTAAAATGTCCTCTTTTCAACATAAGATTCTGAGGTATGTAAAGAAATAAGAAAGTGCCCTCGCCAGGTTTCTAAGTGGTTAGAACCTAGGCCTGCCAACCAATGAGTCATGGGTTCAATTCAGGTCAAGAGCATGTACCTTGGTTTTGGTTCATCCCCAGCCTTGGTTGGGGTCATGCGGGAGGCAACCGGTTGATGTGTCTTTCTCACATTGATGTTTCTTTCTCTTTCTCTTTCTCTCTCTCTCTCTCCCCCCCCCTCTCCCTCCCTCTCACTCTACCTGAAGATAAATGGAAAAATATCCTTGGGTGAGAATTAGAAAAAAACAAACAAAAAAGCATTGTTCAAACACAGGAAAAGAAGCAATTAATTAAACTGTTGCTGAGAATGGCCAGGAGACATATGAAAAAAAAAAATGCTCAACATCTCTAATCATCAGAGAGATGCAAATTAAAATGACTATGAGGTATCACCTCACACCTGCCAGAATGGCTGCCGTCAACAAATTCTCAAACAACAAGTGCTGGCGAGGGTGTGGAGAAAAGGGGAACTCTACTACACTGCTGGTGGGAATGCAGCCACTATGGAAAACAATATGGTGTTTCCTCAAAAAAATTACAAATGGAACTGCCATTTGACCCAGCGATCGATCCCACTTCTAGGAATATACCCTAAGAAGCCTGAAACACCAATCAGAAAGAACATATGTACCCCCATGTTCATAGCAGCACTATTTACAATAGCTAAGATCTGGAAATACCCCAAATGTCCATCAGTAGACGAATGGATAAAGCAGCTTTGGTACATTTACACAATGGAGTACTATGCAGCTGTGAGAAAGAGAGATCTCTTATCCTTTGAGACGACATGGAGGGACCTGGAGACTATATGCTAAGCGAAATAAGCCAGTCAGAGACAGACAGATACCACATGATCTCACTTAGTGGAATATAATGAACAAAATAAGCTGCCGACCAAAAGAGATCCAGAGTCATGGACGGAGGAAACAGACTGACAAACCTCAGAGAGATGGGAAGTGGAAAGGGCCGGAAGAAATACACCAAAGAACTTACACACATACATGCACAACCAATTGATATGGACATAAGGCTGGGGCAGGCAGGAGCAGGGTGGGAGTGGGAAGGGACGGTCAAGGGGGAAAACGGGGACATCTGTGATACTTTCAACAATAAATAAATAAACTAACTAATAAACAAACAAACTGTCGGCAAGGAAACCAGAGGTTAGACTTATCAGACAAAGATTTTAAATGAGCTATTTTAAATAGCTTCAAAGAACTAAAAGAAATCATGACTAAACAACATCACGAAAGTGATGTCTCGGCAAATAGAGTTATCAATAAAGAGTAAGAAATTATAAAATAGAAAAAACAGAAATTCTGGCATTGAAAAGTATAAAAGCTGAAAGGAAAGAGTTATCAGAGGGATACAAAAGCATATTTCAACAGGCATATAAAAAAATAAATACAATCAACAAACAAGAAAACAGATCAATTGAGAGTATCCAGTCTGAGAAACTGAAAACAAAACGGGAGAAAAAGTAAAGAGAGCCCCAGAGATCCTGGGCTCAGCAATATGAGCACCAATATGTGCAAATGGGCCTCCGATAAGGGGAGCCCTGAAAGGCAAGAAGAGAAAGGGGCAGAAAGAATATCTAAAAAAAATAATGGCCAATAACTCCCCAAATGTGACAAAAACCATGTCTATACATCCAAAAGTTCAACAAACTCTAAGTAGAATGAATAAATGAAAAGAAATCCACATGTAGATTCAACATAATTAAATGGTCAAAATGCAGAAGAAAATATGTATGTATGTATTTATTTACTTCAAAAATATGTTTTTATTTATTTTTTATAGAGAGGAAAGGGGAGAGAGAGATAGAAACATCCATAGGCTGCCTCCTGCATGCCCCCACTGGGGATGGAGCTCAAAACCTGTGCACATGTCCTGACCAGGAACGGAACTGGGACCTCTATCCATGGGAGGATGCTCAATCCACTGGGCCACACTGGCTGGGTCAAAAGGAAAATATTTAAAAGTGAAATTATGTAACTGCACCAAAAAAGGTAATATAAGATAAACTGTTAAAACAGTTATCCAGTTAAATATAATTCTCTGTACTTTCCTCTACATTTATAGATATTTCATATTAAGAACTTAAAAAGATAATGCTGTAGAAAAGCGGAAGACATCACCTAGGAAGAAAAAGAGATTTCCAATTTAAAATTTTCCTAGCCATTATATCATTTAAGTGTGTGGGTAGGACTTAGGATGTATGTTTATAGAAAAACAGCATAGATGTATTTTTCCTATTCCTACTGCTAAGTATAGCTACAACTCATGAGTTGTATTGATTGTGAGTATCACATATAAAACAAGCAAGCAAACAGGATGCTGACAGACTGGGCAGCTGTCTCAGGACCCAGGAACGACAGCGGTGAGTTCTTTGGGAGTCCTTTTTGCCTCTTTTGTCCCAGACTGAGTGCTGGTGAGCTGGCAACCAAGAGATGTCACAGGGCACTGACAAAGTAAGTCCCAACCAAAGTCTGGTTCTCTCTAGCCCAAGAACCAAGAATGGCGCCACTTATGAAGATGAAAAGTTCAGGCGATGACTGCCCCACACAGTAAACACCCCACTCCCTCCCCAATGGCTGCGGAGAACTCGGTTTCCACACCTGCCAGGCTGTAACGAGGTGCCTCAATCATCTCTCCTCCATCCCACCACTCACGTGGTTTCAAGAGGCCAAGGGGGGAACCTGGACTCAATCCCCGATGGCAGTAATGAGGCAATCCTTTCCCTTCCCCCCAGGGGTAGCGGAGGGACTGCTTAAACAAAAGCTATATAAATAAATTCCACTCTAACAATACCTACAATGTCCAGGTACGAAGAGAAATTCACTCCTCTAATCAAGAGTCAGGAAAACCGCCCTGGCCAGTTTGGCTCAGCGGTTAGAGCGTCGGCCTGCAGTCCGGAGAGACCCGGGTTCGGTTCCCGCTAAGGGCATGTACTTCGGTTGCAGTTTGTCCCCGGCCCTGGTTGGTCGTGCGGGTGGCAGCCACTCGATGTGTCCCTTCACATCGATGTTTCTCTCTCTCTCTCCCTCCCACTCTATCTGTACGAAAAATGGAAAAATATCCTCGGGTGAGGATAAAAAAAAAAAAAAAAGAGTCAGGAAAACCAAAACTTAAGAGATGATGTGTGTATTAGCTGACCTGGGCTTTAATGCAGACATCATCATAAAAAGGCTTCAACAAGTATAAATTCACTTGAAACAAATAAAAACCAAAATAAAGTCAGCAAAGAAATCAAAGTTATGAGAGAAAGACAAATGGAAATGACAGAACTGAGAGACAGTATAATGGAACAAATGCACTCACGGGACAGTCTCAGGTGCAGAGCTAAGACAGGACACTCAGTCCTCAGGCCAGAACCAGGACTGGAGGACAGATCAGTACAATGTTCCCAATCTCAACAAGAGAGAAAACAGACTGAAGAGTAAAGGTAGAATAAATACATTTTTCTGATGTAAGAAGTGTCAGAAATTGGCATCTCAAGTACCTTCTCTGTTACAAAAGGTGCTCTTATAGCCCAGCTAGTGAGGCTCAGTGGATGGAGCGTAGTCCCACGGACTGAGATACATGCCCGGGCTTCGGGCTCGAGCCCCACTCGGGGGTGTATAGGAGGCAGCTGATCGATGTTTCTCTCTCACATGGATCTTTCGATCTCTCTCTCCCTTCCTCTCTAAATAAATCACTAAAAACATATTTAAAAACAAAACAAAAATGTGCTCTTACAAACCAAGAAAGTAAACCAAGCCCTGGCTGGTGTGGCCCAGTGGTCAGAGTGTAGACTGCACAACTAGGGCCACCGGTGCGATTCCTGGCCCCAGCTACGCACATGTGGGAGGCAGCCCTTTGATGTGCCTCTCCCACACCAGACTGCAGTAGGGAGAAGCAAGGCTTCAAGGAGGGATCTCATCCAGGAGAAACTGGAACCGACAGAGACCTGATAAGATCTGTCTGTATTTAGAGTTCTATAGGTTTGGTGGAGTTTGAGGATTAATTAGTGATTGGCAGAGCAAACCTTAGTAATAGCCTTGTAGGACTATGTGACTTCCTTGTTTTAAATCCTCACCTGAGGACATTTTTCCATTTTTTGTTCAGATAGAGTGGGAGGGAGGGAGAGAGAGAGAAACATCGATGTGAAAGGGACACATCGAATGGTTGCCACCCACACGACCCAACCAGGGCCGGGGACAAACTGTAACCGAGGTACGTGCTCTTAGTGGGAATCAAACCCAGGTCTCTCTGGATCGCAGGCTGATGCTCTAACCACTAAGCTAAACCGGCCAGGGCTACTATGTGACTTTTTTTAAAAATCCAACTTTTGCCCTGCTGGAGTGGCTCAGCTCATTGAGCATCATCCTGTGCACTGAAAGGTTGCCAGTTTGATTCTGGGTCAGGGCACACACCTGGGATGCGGGTCAATCCCACAAAAGGCAACCAATCAACGTTTCTCTCTCACATCAATCTCTTTCTCTCTCAGCATGTCCTTGGGTGGGGAATTAAAAAATACACTAAACTGCCCTGGCCGCTTTGGCTCAGCGGTTGGAGTGTCCGCCTGCAGTCCGGAGAGACCCAGGTTCGGTTCCCGCTAAGGGCATGTACCTCGGTTGCAGTTTGTCCCCGGCCCTGGTTGGGTCATACGGGTGGCAGCCACTCGATGTGTCCCTTTCACATCGATGTTTCCCTCTCTCTCTCTTCCTCTCTCTCCCTCCCACTCTATCTGTACAAAAAATGGAAAAAAAAATGTCCTCGGGTGAGGATAAAAAAAAAAAAAATACACTAAACTTTAAGATTTTTGGACTTTTTTTTAAATTTCCCACTTCAAAACACTTTAAGTTTTCCTCTTTGTTTTGAATGGGTAATCTTTTCACATTTGAAAACGACTGCGAAGTCTCCTTCAGGACTGAACCCATCTACTACCTTCTCCACATAATACCACCATGTCCATAATTTGATGAATTGTAGTTGCCAACAACTACAGAACACACCAACATTTTGTATACAATATTTAAGGATACATTAATGACAGAATAATAACATGCTATCAATTGTAAGTCATATACTGATTTCAGGGATATTGACATGTATATGTTGATCTTGTATCATATTAAGTTCTGTATGTTTTATATATATATATATATATATATATATATATTTTTATCCTCACCCGAGGACATTTTTGCATTTACCTTCAGACAGAGCATGAGGGAGAGAGGGAAGAAGAGAGAAACATTGATGTGAGAGAGACACACAAACTAGTTGCCACCCACACAATCCCAACCAGGGCCAGGTACAAACTGCAACCAAGGTACGCACCCTTAGTGCAAACCGAGCCCAGGACTCTCTGGTCCAGAGGCTGACGCTCTAACTGCTGAACCAAACCAGCCAGGGCTGGTTTTTATATTTCGTTTAAAATTTTTATTCACTATTAAAATTTTTATCCTCAATGTCTACATGGTTTTCTTTTTAAATGATGGCTTATTCTGTGATGGCTTCTTCTAGATCTTTGATGAGTTCTGTCAATTTGTGTTATCTCTATGTCTTATCACTTTCTCTTGGGAGTCTTTGCATTTCATCTTTTATGTTTTTCTTCACTGGGCTGTGGTTATTTCATTAAATAACTTAAATTTAGCCCGGCCAGTGTGGCTCAGTGTTTGAGAGTCGACCCATGCACCAAGAGGTCGCCGGTTCAATTCCCAGTCAGGGCACACACCCAGGTTGTGGGCCCGATCTCCAGTGGGGGGGCATGCAGGAGGTGGTCAATTAATGTTCTCTCACATCAATGTTTCTATCTCTCTCTCCCTCGCCCTTCCTCTCTCTCTAAAATCAATAAAGAAAAAAAAAATAAATATAACAAAATTTAAATTCAGTCAAATATTGTTATAGATTTCATCTATCCCATGCAAACATTTTTCTAAGGAATGTTCTTAGTGAACACATTCATATATTTTGTTGATCTTTTTTTTTATCACTATTATTTTTTTTAATCCTCACCCGAGAACATTTTTGCATTTATCTTCAGACAGAGCAGGAGAGAGACAGGGAGGAAGAGAGAGAAACATTGACGTGAGAGACACACAGCTGCCAACTGCACAACCCCAACCAGGGTCAGGGACAAACCACAACCGAGGTACATGCCCTTAGCGGGAACCGAACCCAGGACTCTGGTCTGCAGGCCAACGCTCTAACCGCTGAGCCAAACTGGCCAGGGCTGCTGATCTTTTCTTAATTTTACATATCTTCATATCAACTCTTTTATTACTTACTGGTGAATGAATTGGGTTCTTTTTTTTTTTAATCCTTACCCAAGGATATTTTCACTTATTTTCAGATAGACTGGGAAGAAAAGAGTGAGAGAGAGAGAGAGAGAGAGAGAGAGAGAGAGACATATCAATGTGAGAGAGACAACACATCAATTGGTTGCCTCCTGTGACCCCGTCCAGGGCCAGGGTCGAACCAGCAACCCAAGTACTTGCTCTTGACCAGAATGGAATCCGTGACCCTTTTGTCCATGGGCTGAGGCCCTAACAGCTGAGCATTTTCTTCTGAAATGTTTTTTTTGTTTTTTAATTTTATTTGATTTTTAGAGAGAGGAAGGGAGAGGGAGAGAGAGAAGCATCAATGAGATAGAATCATTGACTGGCTGCCTCCTGCATGCTCCCTACTGGGGATCAAGCCTGCAACCCTGACCAGGAATCGAAAACAGGAACTTCTTTGGTGCTCAACACTGACCCACACCAGGCGTCTAAGTACTTTTAATGAGTCACTTCATTTAAATACAAGTAGAATCTGATGAGCTAAATGTTATACATATGCCATTTCATAAATTAGGCAGATGAGGGTTACAGAGGTTGAAAAACATATGCAGGCCATGTAGCTAGAAAAAACACATAAAAAATGCACACAAGCAACATTATGTGAAATTCATCACGTGTTAGACTCTTTCCTCCCCAAATACGCGCGGTTGGAGGCAAGAGTGACAACATTTAAGCACTCACCCCGCAGGCCTGGGTGACCCAGACGTACTTCGCATAGAGCCCTCCACGCGGGGACTGGACACTTCAGGAGGCTGAGGAGGAATGAGGGTTTTCCGAACTGCAATCCTGAAAGGGACAAGAGGCATACCCGCCAAACAGCAGTATGAAGGTTGAACGAGGACAAGACACACATTCCCACAGGGGGACAGGCCCACAGCAAAATGAAAGCACCACACTGGCTGAGTATTTTTAATGAATTTTAAAATTTTAACAAAGTAATATAGGCATAATATTAAAATATTTTTAAAAAGTCAAACAGTACTAAAGGGTGTTTAACAAAATATAGCAGGTCCCTTTCTCAATCCTCCCCATTTTTTTTTTTTTTTTATAAAAACTTTAAAAAAATTTTTTTAATTGATATTTTAGATAGAGAGGAAGGGAGAGGGGGCGAGAGATAGAAACACTGATCGGCTATCTCCCGCACGCCCCACACTGGGGATAGAGCCTGCAACCCAGGCATGTGCTCTGACCAGGAATCGAACCAGCGACCTCTTGGTGCATGGGTCGATACTCAACCATTGAGCCACACCAGCTGGGCAAAACAACTAACATCTCAAACGGAGTGGCCACCAGACATCATATCTCCTGGTAATGACGAATGCAATGATCCCCACAGTTGGCGAGGGTGTCAGTAGGTACAAGCACTGGGAAAAACTATCATGATCTACTATAGTTGAGTACATGCACAGCCTACAACCATTTATACTAATTATATAAATGACACCAGAACCAGAGGTGTCATCTGGCCCTAACGGGTCCACTCACCCATCTGTGGCAGGTTTTTTCCGAAGTATGCTGGGCCGGGGGGAGGAGCCCTGGGCTGGCGCACTTGTGCTCGCGCTCTGGCTGTGGGTCTGCACTACCGTCGTGGCTGCTGGGGCAGCGCTGAAGGGGCTGCTGATCGGGTTGGCTACAATTGTGGCTCCATCGGCCAGCACCACTGCTGGGAGACAGCAAGGGGTTGGGCCAGGAAGGCACAGTGCAGAGGGAAACGACAGAAACATTACTAAAGTGTCACATAAGGCAAATAAAAACAATCAGACCACTAGAATGAGAGTATGCATGTTGTAACTATCCAGTTTAAAGAAGACATAATGTTCATGTGCCTCAGAGCAGAAAGTAGAGGCACATGATGCGTAAGTCTATTGATGCATAATTAATCCCTATTCTTCTTTGCTCTATAATCATAATTATTAATGAGATAAAATACATAAAGTACATAGTACACTTAAAGAAATCTCCCAGTTTTTGTAAAATACAAGCACTTTCAATCCTAAAAATGGTATCAGCATTCCAGTCTATCTTAATTTTACAGCTTTACATAAACTCTAGAAAAATCTTAAATGAATGAAACTACTCCTACCATAAGGTGCATGTGCTCTCTCGTCTCAGAGTTCCTTTCACAGAATGCTTCTGTTGTTCCACCACGTGCAAACAACTACTAAGGCTGTTTATGTCTGTTTCTAACGTCACAATGGCCCTGCACGTTCTTAGCAGCTCATGTGACAACATGGAAATGAAAGCTGGGAGGAACGACCTAAGATCACAAGCCAGTAAATGGCAGATCCAGAATTTAAACGCAGCGTATCTCTCTTCTGCACACCAACTTCCAAGCAACAGTTCAACATTACCTGAAGTTTTGCTTTCGGGCGGAGGCTGCTGAGGGCCCACCGATGCAGGCTGAAGGCCTTGTGTGCTGATGGGGGCTGCGGGGTGGATCCCCTGTGTGCCAACGGGTGCTGGCTGTATTCCTGGGGTCCCAATGGGGGCTGGCTGTATCCCCTGCGTACTGATAGGCGCAGGCTGGATCCCTTGAATATGTCGAGCATGAGATGCATCCACTGTCATTAACTGCATGGGGTTTAGGTGAACTGTAGATGCCACCCCAACACCAGTCTGAGCTGTTATGGCAGAGTTTGGAGCTTGAGCTGAAACTAAAAATGATGCAAACACTGACTACAATATTCGCTCTGATTAGACACAGTTCACATTAGAAGAAAAACACTAAAATGAAAACAGAATTTTCCCACTGCACAAAATCTAAATCCTCACTTAAAAAAAAAAAAATCACTACATAAAACTATATATTGAGCCCAGTGAGTGTGACTCAGTGGCTGAGCACTGACGCATACACCAGGAGGTCGTGGGTCCAATTCCTAGTCAGGGCACATGCCCAGGTTGTGGGCCTGATCCCCAGTGGGGGGCATGCAGGAGGCGGCCAACAGATGTTCTCTCTCACCGGTGTTTCTCTTTCCCTCTCCCTTCCCCTCTCTCTCAAATCAATAAAGAAAAAAAAATTTTATATAAAACAAAAACAATGCATCCTCACTCACACAGCAGTCCAGCCAAAATTGAGCCACCCTGTCCCAAGCACATATTCTAGGCTCAGACAGAAATGTGCTTTTCTGTGATCCCACCATGGCTCTGTCCTGCCCATTCTGAGAGATACTTTCCAAGTATTATTTCCTTTAGGAAAATCATTCCTGACTTCCAAGCCTAGAGTTCCATGTGGAAATAACCTCTCTTATCTCAGACGCAGCATGACTTTGCTCACGCCTTTCTTGTGGGATTTAGTACTTTGTCCATTATAACACCCCTTCCTGTTCTACCTCCCTATTACTAGACTCTAAGCTTGCTGAAAGCAAGATCTGTTTAAGAGTCAGCTTTAAAAATAAACCCTGGCATAGGGCCTTACATATAGTAGGGTATCAATACATATTTGTGGAATTAATAAATGCATGAATGAATAAATGAAAGAAATGAAAAACACCTCTGAAACAAGTAAAATTTCAGGAACAATTTGAAAGGAATCAATCACTACAAACCATATAGATTACATATATATATTCATAATTAGATATTCACATCTATATTTAACTAATATCTAAAGGACCAACAAGATTCCATCTTTATATGCAACCAGGGTCCTTGAACAATTTTAAACAATTTTTTAGAGTAATCCCATAGTGGCAAGATTGGAGCCTATTACATACAAATTTTCCTATCCTCTTCTTGATTTGAAAAACATCTGCTTTAAAATAATTTAAAATGAGCCACTGAATCTACAACACTTGAAAATAGGACACTGTAAGCTGATTAATACATTTTCCTTCAATTGTGTCGATCCATGTACAGATTTACATGTCAGAGAAAGAATATAGTCCCTCTCATCTGCAACAATAATGTGCACATACAGGTATTGGAAGAAATGAAGTGTTGCTTGCACTATCATTTTCCTGTAATTATCCATTAGGTCCACTATAGTGGCAGAAGAGGATACTTGGAATAATAATGTAGAAAAACAGCTGACTGACAGGATCCCCAACACTCTATTACTGGATTTTCACAATAAAAGTTTATATAAAATGGCCCTGGCCAGTTTGGCTCAGCGGTTAGAGCGTCGGCCTGCGGTCCGGAGAGACCCGGGTTCGGTTCCCGCTAAGGGCACGTACTTCGGTTGCAGTTTGTCCCCGGCCCTGGTTGGTCGTGCGGGTGGCAGCCACTCGATGTGTCCCTTCACGTCGATGTTTCTCACTCTCTCTCCCTTCCTCTCTCTCCCTCCCACTCTATCTGTACAAAAAAGAAATGAAAAAAAAAAAAAATATCCTCGGGTGAGGATGAAAAAAAAAAAAAAAAAAAAAGTTTATATAAAATGATAATGCTAGCTCAGGAGACACTTGCACATCCTTTTCAGTTGGCTAGTATTCAGAGAAATAAGTATCGGTCACGTGTACCTTCCGCAGGAAGGCAAAGTGACTGCAATATTACAGAAGGCGGAGAGAGAGAGAGGAAGGAACATGGTGGGAAGTGCTGCCACTGATAAAAACTTAACAATTTTCAGCAATGCCCTGGCCAATTTGGCTCAATGGTTGGAGCATCAGCCTGCGGTCCAGAGACCCGGGTTCGGTTCCCGCTAAGGGCATGTACCTCGGTTGCAGTCTGACCCCAGCCCTGGATGGTCGTGCGAGTGGCAGCCACTCAATGTGTCCCTTTCACGTCAATGTTTTTCTCTCTCTCTCTTCCTCTCTCTCCCTCCCAGTCTATCTGGACAAAAAATGGAAAAAAATGTCCTCGGGTGAGGATAAAAAAAAAAATCTTTCTATAGCCACATTAATAAAGTATAAAGAAGTAGAACAAATTAATTTTCGTATATATTAGGATATATTTGGAAAATATCTAAAATATTATTTCAAAATGTAACCAGTACAAAATTTTGTATTAAGATATTTTACATTCTGCCCAGCCGGTGTGGCTCAGTGGTTGAGCATCGACCCTGCACCAAGAGATAGCTGGTTCGATTCCTGGTCAGAGCACATGACCAGGTTGTGGGCTCAATCACCACTGGGGGGCATGCAGGAGGCAGCTAATCGATGTTCTTTCTCATCAACGTTTCTATCTCTCTCCCTCTTCCTTCCTCTCATTCTAAAGTCAATAAAGGAAAAAAAAAAAAAAAAGATACTTTACATTTTTTCTATACTGTCTTCAAAATACAGGGTATATTTTGCTTTTAAAGTATATTCTCAATTCAGATATTAAATATCTATTACAAATATTGGATTTGTATTTTGAGTCCATAAAAAATCTACATTTTGAAAAGGTAGTTTCATATCACTAAGTTTTTCCAAACATATTTGAAGTTTCTCTTTTAATTAAGTAAAACAAAAAATTCAGTTCTTCATTTGCACTAGGTCCCCTTCAAATGCTCAATGGCCACCTGTGGCCCTGGCACAGTCCTCGTTTGCACAGCGGAAGGACAATGTCCCTAAGCTAGACAATCTGGCTTTTTTTATATCTAAAGGGAGATGAGGGTCCCACAGGAAAATATTACACAAATGCTAAAGTTTAAGAATTGTTTTCTGTATTATAAGAAAGAATGGTGAGTGTTTAGCATAACTGGACTACCATTAAAAAAACACAACAAATACTGCATAAAACAATACAAGCCCTGTAAGAGCACAGCTTAATTCCTTTTAACTGTACAATTTTAAGGTGAAACAAAAATTGTTAACTTAATCATCTTCAGGGTAGGACAACATCATGGAAATACCACTAATAACAACCACCACCTTTCCACAGAACAAAGAGATGGTAATTTAAAAAGTGAAAACTTCCAATTTTAGCGTTATCTGAATTTGATCATAGAGGCTGGCATAGTAAAACCCATATAAATACTGAGTGATGGTTTCTAACTCGTTGCTTGAAAAAATTAAAATGTTAAAAGTCATCTTCACAGTGGGACTCCTACCTGGATACTGTCGGATGGTGGACACCGAGCTGGTGATTGGGGTGTATGTGTGTGCCGTCAGTGGGTATGCAGAAGGCGGATATGTTGGCAAAAAGTATTGGAACTGAACAGGAACAGACGGTCTATAGATGGAACACAAATAACAATGAACAAAATGGTCTATTTTCAAGTGATCCTATCCCCCAAATCTTCGTCATACTCTAACTGACACACCAACATTTCCCACTGTGTCTCAAACAGTTAGATCGAAGGACACAGATCTACAGAGTAATATTTTAAAATAAATGAATGCGATAAATAACTGTATCAATAAATGTAAAACATTCATGGAATAGTAATTAGCAAAATTGACTTAAAAACCCCCTCAGTAATGAAAGGTCTTCCCTGCTCAATTCCACTTGAAAGAGTCTAAGCTCAGATGGTTTTTACTGGCACAGTTTATCAAACATATATAAAATAAATAATCCCAAACTTATAGAAACTGATTCAGAGACCAGAAAAAGAAGAAAAGTGACCTAACTTACTTTTTGAGGTTAATATAGCCTTGATATCAAAACTGGACAGGGAGAGTATGAGAAAAGATTATAAACAAATCTTACTCTCTGAATTGACACAAAAATTCCTAAATAAAACTGAATCAATTACTATATAAAATTAAATACATCATGATCAAATAAGGGTTATCACAGAAAGATAGGAAAGATTCAATATCAGAATTTCTATTGCTGATATATCAAAAGAATAATCGTTTGAAACTTTGCAAAAAATAGTTAATAACATTTAATACTTACTCATGATAGAAATGTCTAAGAGAACAAGAACAGAAAGAAACTGTGTCCATCAAACTGGAAACAGTATCAACAAAAATCTATAATGAAATTTCAGAATTATTCCCATTCAGGTCAGGAACAAGACACCAATGCTCACATCTCTGCTATATTCAACATTATATTGCAAGCTCTTGGAACGACAAAAATCAAGTATATAAAATAGAAATGAAAAAAACTCCCTCATCCCTTAAAAACTGTCCTTATTTGTAGATTAAATAAATATCTATATAGGAAATCCAAAAGAACTCACAAACTTTTAGAGCTAATAGTCATGTTCAGCAAAAAGAATAGACATGATATATTACAACCTATAAGCATTCCTACACACCATAATCAAATAAGGTGATGGAGAAACGACCAGCCCTGACATAACTCATGTGCACTGTACGCGCTCACCACGGGAGAAGGGTAGTGCAACTATGGAGCGGGAGGTATAAGCATGAACTAAATAAAAAGTTTTTAAAATGCTATGTACTTCTTACCTCTGCCTACTGAAAGAGCCTAGAAGAAATGACAATCTAGTAACAATGAACAGAGATAATGCCTATATCCTGGTTTCTAAATGAGGAAAAGGAACCAGGGCTTCAGGGAGAAATGGCAGATTCCAGGGCTCAAAGTTCAGGGGAAGCTTGGAGAACTGTGTTGTGGTGGAAAGGGCTAGAATGACCAGGACATGGCAAAACCACAGGAACTAGTCTGAAGGGCTCGCAAGGACCAACCCAGAGACAATTTGGAGCAACAAAACGGAGGACACTAAGAGACTGCAATAATGAATAAAACCAAATCCATGAGCCCATGCTGATTCTAAAAAAATAAAATACACAACAAAATAAATACATGGGGATAAAATTTCTTTACATCAAAATGTCAACCGATAAATGTGAAAGAAAAGATAGTGAGAAAAAGTCACTATTTTACCACCATCATAGTGCAACCCTCAACTGACCCAGCCAAGAAGCATCAGTAAATAAACTACTGAGTGAAAGTTTATTGGGGTACAGGATATCTATAGCCTCAATGTATTTCCACAGATTACTTAATAACAAGAAAGAAAAATACCCCTTAAAAGTAGAAGAATCTGGCAAACATCACCCTAAGTAAATAATGTCGACACAACTAATGATGGGACAAAGAAACAGTACGAGCTTCTCTGATGTAATAGTGAGAACATATCACCCAAGTGGTGTTCTCTCCAAAAATGCATAGCTTGAATCTGAGAGAAAACAATCTGATAACCCCAATGGAATAATATTCTACAAAAATTGGTCTATCTACATCCTTAAAAAACGTCAATGTATGAAAGAGAATAGAAAGCTAAGAAGCTGTTTTAGGGATGTACCTTCAGGCGTAAGTAAGAGAATTCCTCTGTTCTCAGAGATGAAAATGGAAGTACTTGGGAATAAAGGATCCTAATGCTGCACCGTTACTCTCAAAATAAACACAAACACACAGAAAAAAATAATGGATACTAAAGAATACCCATTAACAGGAGAATGGCTGAATATAGACATTTTCAGAAAACTAAGATTATTTTCAGGGGGAAAATTTGAAAATCCAAATAAGTAAATATACACCACATTTGTGGGACATTTTATATTACTGAACAATCAAAACAACAAATGACGATGAGGTACTGTAAGTGGCACATTCCCTCCTACCTGTTGTCACTCCGCGTTTCCATGGCCACAGGGTTTGGAGAGGCCCGATGTCCTGAAATGGGAATCAGGCTGCTCCTCTCTGTGGGGTAGTCCGGCTGGATCCTAGGAGAGGTGTGTGTGATCTGCTGTGGCACCACCTTAGCTACAAAAAGGAAAACCCAGTCATGTTACTGCTCATGCTTTCACTGGCAAATCATTCTTGGCCCGCAATAATCTTAATGCAAATACTTCAATAAGTCTGGATTTTTTGTTTTAATCAAAATAATGAAAGATGAGTACATAAGGTTTAACTAACTTATCTCAATCTAATATTCCACTGATATTCTGTCAAAGCAAGGTTCACTATTAATATGTCAACAAAAATATCAGCAACCAGGCCCCCTTCCCCTGACCTGGCTTGAGACCCCTGCCCCCTTTTCTTGCCTCACCCTACGACATTTTTGCATTTACCTTCAGATAGAGAGGGAGGGACGGAGGGAGGGACAGGAAGAGAGACATCAATGTGAGAGACACACATCGAGTGGTCACCACCCACATGACCCCAACCAGGGCCGGGGACAAACTGCAACTGAGGTACATGCCCTTAGCGGGAACTGAACCTGGGACTCTGCGGTCCACGGGCTGACGCTCTAACCGCTGAGCAAAACTGGCCAGGGTTCAATGATCTCTTTCAACAAAAGTGCATTACTGCTGAAATCACACACACATATAACCTCTTAAAAAAAATGTATCTTAATTGTTGAAAGTATTAGATATCCCCCTTTTTTTTCTCCCAATGACCCCCTTCTCCCTACCCCATTCCCAACCCACTCCTGCCTTCCCACACTATTGTCTTTGTCCACTGGTTATGCATAGAAGTTCTTTGGTTTATCTCTTCCTGCATCTCTCCCCACTTCCCTCTGAGGTCTGTCAGTCTAACCAATTTGTACTTCTTATTCCCTTCACCTTTTCCGTCCATCCACCCAACCCCTCTCCCATCTAGCAACCATCAAAAATTTCTCTGTATCTATGATTCTGTTTCTGTTCTGCTTGTTCATTTTATTTGTAGATTCAATTCTTGATAGATATGTATGTACTGTTATTTTATTGCTCATATTTTTGTTCTTCTTCTCCTTGAAAAAGACCCTTCAACATTTCATATAATACTGGTTTGGTGGTGATGAACTCCTTTCACTTTTTTTGTCTGGGAAACTCTTGATATGTCCATTGATTGTAAATGACAGCTTTGCAGGATAGAGTAATCTTGGTTGGAGGTCCTTGCTTTTCATCACTTTGAATATTTCTTGCCACTCCCTTTTGGACTGAAAAGTTCTCCTCACCCGAGGATATTTTTCCATTTTTTGTTCAGATAGAGTGGGAGGGAGAGAGGGGAAGAGAGAGAGAGAGAGAAACATTAATGTGAAAGGGACACATCGAGTGGTTGCCACCCGCACGACCCATCCAGGGCTGGGGACAAACTGCAACCGAGGTACGTGCCCTTAGCGGTAACCGAATCCAGATCTCTCTGGACTGCAGGCTGATGCTCTAACAGCTGAGTCAAACCGGCCAGGGCCAAAGTTTCTTTTTTTTTTTTTTAATCCTCACCTGAGGACATTTTTCCATTTTTTGTTCAGATAGAGCGGGAGGGAGAGAGAGGAAGAGAGAGAGAGAGAGAAACATCGATGTGAAGGGACACATCGAGTGGCTGCCACCCGCACGACCAACCAGGGCCGGGGACAGACTGCAACCGAAGTACGTGCCCTTAGCGGGAACCGAACCCGGGTCTCTCCGGACCGCAGGCCGACGCTCTAACCGCTGAGCCAAACTGGCCAGGGCCCAAAGTTTCTTTTGAGAAATCAGCTGACAGTCTTATAAGAACTCCCTTGAAGGTAAATAACTGCTTTTCTCTTGCTGCTTTTAAGGTTGTCTTTGTCTTTAACTTTTTGCATTTTGATTATGATGTGTCCTGGTGTGGGCCTCTTGAGGTTCATCGTGTTTGGGAGGCTCTGTGCTTCCTGGACTTGTATGTCTGTTTCCTTCACCAAGTTAGGGAAGTTTTCTGTCATTATTTCTTCAAGAAGGTTTTCAATTTCTTCCTCTCTCTTCTTCTGGCACCTCTATGATGAGAATGTTAGTATAACTGAAGTTGTCCCAGAGACTCCTTCACTATCCTTTTTTTGGTGTACAGTTCTAACTGGGTGTTTTCTGTTCCTTTACATTTCAAATCAATGGTTTGCTTCTTGGCTTTACCTACTCTACTATTGATTCCCTGTAAATTACTTTTTTTTTTTTTAATCCTCACCCGAGGACATTTTCCCATTTTTTTGTTCAGATAGAGTGGGAGGGAGATAGAGGAAGAGAGAGAGAGAAACATCGATGTGAAAGGGACACATCGAGTGGCTGCCACCCGCACGACCAACCAGGGCCGGGGAAAAACTGCAACCGAGGTACGCGCCCTTAGCGGGAACCGAACCCGGGTCTCTCAGGACCGCAGGTCGACACTCTAACCGCTGAGCCAAACCGGGCAGGGCTGTAAATTACTTTTTATGTCAGTTAGTGCCTCCATTTCTGAGGCCCTCTCTAAGTTCAATGAGCATCCTTCTAATCAGTGTTTGAATTCTGCATCTAGTAGATTGCTTACCTCCATTTCGCTTAGTTCTTTTCCTGGAGTTCTATTCTCTTTTTTTCATTTGGGACATGTTTCGTCTCCTTATTTTGGCTCCTTCCCTGTTTGTTTCAACGTATTAGGTAGAGCTGCTATGTCTCCTAGGCTTCCAAGGGTGGCCTAATGTAATAGATGTCCTGTGGGGTCCAGTGGCACAGCCTCCCTGATCATCCTAGATAGGACCTTGAGGTATACCCCCGTGTAGACTGTATACCTTTCTGTTGTAATTGAGTCTCGATTGCTGATGGCACTTCATTGGGAGGGGTTTACTCATGCTGATCAGCTGCAAGGACTGGCTGTGCCCACTGACCACTGACCTCTGTGCCCAGTGACCACTGACCTCTGGAGAGCAAGACTTACAGGAGGGCTACGATACCCACTAAGCCCATCCCTTGAGTATGTTGCTTGTGGAGGTGGTGGGGTGCTTTGACATGGTCTGAAGCTGCGCATTTAATGTGCTGGCGCTAGGGCCTTTCAGGAGGTGCAGACCAAGGTCAGCTAATGCCCGTGCTCTACAGGGGCCACCAAACATAAGATACAAAGCGATCTGCAGATGGCTGCTTTTTTTTTTTAAATCCTCACCAAAGGACATTTTTGCATTTATCTTCAGATAGAGCAGGAGAAAGAGAGGGGGGAAGAGAGGGAGAGAAAACAGCGACATGAGAGAGACACATCGAGTGGCTGCCACCCACACAACCCCAACTGGGGCCGAGGACAAACCGCAACCGAGGTATATGCCCTTAGTGGGAACCGAACCCAGGACACTCTGGTCCACAGGCCGACGCTCTAACCGCTGAGCCAAACCAGCCAGGGCAGATGGCTGCTTCTTGTGCTGGGCTTGAAGTTGTCCAGGCAAGGCCAAGCTCTGTACCAAGGTTGGCTGCTGCTAGTGCCGGGCATGGGGCTACGTAGCAAGAGGTACAGGACATGTCGAGGGCAGATCCTGTTTGAGAGATTTTTAAAAAATCCTAAGCATGAGCCAAGACAGGCTGGTAAAGCTACTGGAAACAATTTGGATGCGCCTGAAGTTGGGTGGGGCAGGGCCTCAGAAAATCACCAGGGTGAGGAAAACAGTGTGAGCCAGGTTGCTGGAGTCCCAGATATGGTGCCCGGTTGCTGGCCCAAAGGGGAAAGTGCTCACCAAAGGAACAACGGCTTCCGCCAGCATGTCTGTCTGAGAGAAGGCTGCCCCTGCAGCTCTTGCTCCAATGCCAAACAATGCAGTTTTTTCCCTGTGTGTCTCTGGTGTCTTTCAAGGTGCCTCCCCCGTGCTGGAGCTCAGAGGGAGAGAATCCAAGTTAAGTCCATGTGCGGGTCTTTTAAGTGGAACTGCCTGGGACTCCATCAGCCCCGGCCTCCCTCAGCTTCAATTCCTGCTGGTTTTACAGCCAGAAGTTATGGAAACTTCTCTTCCTGGCACTGGAATCCTGAGCTGGGTGCCTGGTATGGGACGGGGATCTCTGGCTCCTCAGGGAGGACCTTCCCAGCTGACTTCCTCCTGATTTTTATCTGTCACACATGGGTGTGGGGCCAGCCCTTCCACGCCTACACCCCTCCTAGTTGTCTCAATGTGTCCTATTCTTTAATCTCGTAGTTGTAGGACTTCCAATCAGCTTGATTTCAGGCAGCTCTGAATGATGGCTGTTGTAGTTTAGTTGTAATTTTTTGTGGTTGTTGGAGAAGACGAGTACCATGTTTACCTATGGTAACATCTCGACCAGAAGTCCGAAACAAATTTATTTTCACAGAAGTCAAATCAACTTCAGAGAGTTATGAGAGAAGTTTGGTGCCAAGCTGCAGAGACAGTAACAGGAGAAAGTCATGGCAGCTGTGTCCTCTCTGCTAAATGTCTTTTATAGGGCTTAGTGCCGATTTAAGAGCTGGCTGGCATGGCCCTTACCTAAAAGAGGAGTAAGTTTCCTGGGTCCAACCATTATTCTGGAAAAGTGTCTTCCAGGTTTGGTAGGAGGGCTGTGACGTAGCATGTGAAGAGAGGAAGTAGGGAAGAGATCAGCCCAGGGCTGGAACACACATGTAGAGAAGCCACACTTCTGTGTCTGGTCACTGGACTGACGATTCAGTATGTCACAGAGTCATCTCACGAAAAGCAGTCTTACTTTGGGAATGGAGATGACATTCTAGAACCGAGGCAAAGTTGACAGTAGAAACTAAAACCTGTGGCTGGTGGGTTAAGAGCAGTTTCATAGGCCACCGTCTCTGCCTTGGAGCTCTGACTGTGGAACAGCCCTTAGGACAGACGCTGGCCACCCATGGCCTGTGAGCCAATCCCTGACTGACACCTGCTTCTGTGAGGCCTTGTAGCCAAGCATACGTACACCTTCCAAATGGTTGGTGGGGGGAGGAAGAGAAAGCATTTTGTGACACACAAAAATTATATGAAATTCAAATCTGTGTCCATCATATCTTACTGAAACACATGCACGCCCACTTGCTGACACACCGACTACTGTGAGTAGCTTGGCACAGACCTATGAAGCCTATAAACTAAAACATTTACTCGCTGGTCCTATGGAAAGAGTCTGCCAATCCCTACTTCTGATCACTAAAGTTTGGCTGCCAGAAACATTTCAAAAATTGTTTAAATATTCAAAGTATACACAGATCAGAAAGGGGGACTAAATAAGGCTAGAGGAGATTTAGGGTGGTTGCGAAGCATCTCCGCAACAATGAGATGAAGTCAACTTGAGGCCAGCTGTCCGCCCACGCTGCGCCACCAGGGGCCCTGAGCAGTCAATTCGTATGCACGTTCTCGTCAGTCCAGATCTTTGCGTCCTGCTCATTTCCCACTGTTCTTGTGTCAGTAAAGTTAATTTATGTCTTTAAAAGGTACACACAGAAGCGGTAAAGTCGAATGAATAAGGAAGTTAAAAGTAGAGTTAATGAAGTTTACTCTGAGCTCCCAAAGATTACTATTCCTCTTTTCCTCTACAGTCAATGCCAAATCTGTATGACAACACTAAAAGTTAAACTCACCGTTACTCTGAAAATCAGCAACAATAAGAAAACCAATACTGTGTATCTACAGGAAAGGCGGTCAGAGGGCAGAAGCACCCTTTAGCCTGCGTGAAGGCCATGCACTTACCCACGGGGATGTTCGAGGTGGTCACAGCAGTGGCATGGGATGAATGTGAGGGCATTGTCATGGTGACAATTGTACTCGTGGGCGCTTGTGTGTGTGACACAGATCCTAATAAGGGAGGAAAAAAAATTCAACAATGGCCTCTCTGAACACATTACAGAGTTTCGAAATGCTCTTGGGAGAAGTTGAGAGTTTTTAGCCCGTTCTTTAAAGTGACCAGAGCTCAGAAATACCGTGAACCTGCACTTACTTGCTGCTCTTCCCTGGCAGAGAAAAAGAGCAGGGTCTCCGACTCACCGGCTGTGGTCACTGATGAAATGGTGTTGGTTGCCAAAATAGGTGCGACGGTCGCTGCGGCCACCGGCGTGCCAGTGCTGAAGATGGTTTTCTGTGGGGACCAGACACAGAGCAAGAGCTATTCACAAGAGCGCTGCCCACCGTACAGTCCGAACAGCCATCACTTTCCACAGCTGTGTGTTCACGGAGACGAACCGTGCAGGTCCCCCACTTACCTGAGCCATGGTGTGGAGCTGCTGCTTGGGCGTGCCCAGCGCAGGGTGCGATGGCAGTGTGATTCTCGTGGTCACGTCCCGTGACTGGGCAGGACGCTGAATACTGATTGCGGCGGACGGGGGATGCTGGATAGACAGAGTCGGCCGGCTGAGAAGACAGAAAGGACGCTGTGAGTGTGCCTTGTGCCCAGGCGCACCCAGGCAGCAGTGCTCTCCACCACCTTGCAGCAGAGCCGTGTTTCCTGAAGTCTGTGAGGGCTGCTGCTGACCCCGTGAAGCAGATGGCCATCGAGCTTCTCCTTAGAAACTGCTGTGAACCTCATCTTGAAAGCAATCGATGTGACCATGAACTGAACAAACTACACCCAGGTCATTCTCAGTCCCTCCACACAGGCAAGCAATGCTCTCCAACAGCCTTAGGTGAGCACTACTGTAATGAATACATTTCACTCTCTGGACAAAGAGGAGACACACCAAGGAAATAATTTACATAAATCCACTTGTAACCTGGGAGAACCAATCTGCAAATAAATGGGACTGCGCACAAAGATCTAGAGCATTTGCTGCCTTGCAAAGCTCCCGCTCACTCCAACCAGCATGTGCTTGTAGTTCATTCCATTGCACTGATCCAAGCAGGCCAAGAGACTGCAAGAGGTGATGAAAGACAGCTACCAGGAGGATGGTAACCTGGGAGGGGACAGGGCACCTGCAAATCCATCTTTACATTAGCTTTGATTTTTTAACCAAACCCATAATTTCCATGTTCAAAAAGCAACCCTAACATTAAAAACAAATTTAAATAAGTAATTGTAACTATAGATTAAATTATAATAAACATAGACTGGAAATACAATAAAACAAATCAACTGGTTAGAAAGCAAAGGGACAGGCACATGGGATATCGGTATCTGTGGGATAGAGACGAGAGTGACCTTTTTCATCATGTTTATATTTTCAAAACGTGTGAATATAAATTAGAAAAAAGAAATTTTTATTTCAGATCCTACAGGGAAAAGAATCACGCCAAGTGCTTTTTGAACACATTCCTATGCTATTTACTGGGATCTAGACTGAGGACAAAAAAGAATGTCAAAGAAATCTTAAACTTGCCCTGGCTGGTTTGGCTCAGCGGTTAGAGCATTGGCCTGTGGTCCAGAGAAACCGGGGTTCGGTTCCCGCTAAGGGCATGTACTTCGGTTGCAGTTTGTCCCCAGCCCTGGTTGGGTCATGTGGGTGGCTGCCAGTCGATGTGTCCCTTTCACATCGATGTTTCTCTCTCTCTCTTCCTCTCTCTCCCTCCTGCTATGTCTGAATAAAAAAAAAATGGAAAAATGTCCTCTGAGAGGATAAAAAAAAAAAGAAAGAAAGAAATCTTAAACTTTATTCAGTAGTCTTACTGTTAGCAGTAACCTATAGAAAAAAAGGGGGGGGGGTTAATTTATGAGAAATGGACTTGGGACTGTGAATTATTACTTTGAAACATTTTTTTTATAGTATGAATTTTAAAAGCCAAGGAGTTAAATTGTCTTTAGGAAACAAGGTTTTCAATGTAAGAGAAGAGATACACAGATTTAATATTTAAGAAAGCAACAAAAGAAAACAGAAACACAACAAACCCTATACTGTTCAATTTCATTTGGAAATATCAGTATCAAGACCTGTCTTTACTATATTGACTACCTCTATCTACAGAAACAGTCTATAAGCTGAGATATGTCAGAAGCAATGTGTACTCCTCAGACCCAGACCTTGGGTTCTAAATACCATTCCCATTAATATGAACTAAGAATCCTTGGAGAAGCGGCTGATTTCAAGACTAGGGAAGCAGGGAACGGAAAAGAGCCTGATTCATCCTGTGCCAGGAAGGAGAAAGTACACAGACCGAGTTACCCAAAGGATACGAGCTAGTGTGAAGGGTTTCCACGAGTCACATTTGAAGCAACTTGGAGAAAAAAGCATTTTGAATAAATCAAACATCCTTTAGTCCATAGTGGAAACTCTACCTCCCACCCACCAAAAGGTTAAAAAAGATGAAGTAAGATCAGCCAGCTGGAAAGTGCCCCTAAGTATACTGTCTTAGTCACTATACTGTTTTTCCTAGTGATCAGTTTTTGTTTTTAATGGCCTCAAAGGTTACTCCAGGGATATAGACCTATTTAGAAACTGGATATATTCCGATAACAAGGGTTAATTTACAAGTGAACTGTAACCGCCTCCAGTGTTCAACTGGGTCCTTGTAGACTTCTTTGGAGTGAAGACAAGAAGTACTGCAGGCAGAGACTACCAGTCTGCTATTTTCTCTTCCTTTTAGAGAGCAAAAACAAGAAAAACCAAAAATAAGAATGCAGCCTCCATCTTTGGCAAAACTCAACCCACAAAATAGGTAACAGAACTGCCAAAGATACTAATAACCAAGTGACACAGAAGCCAATGGAGAGAGGATTTCTGCAGCTGTAATTCAAGGGTTAAGATCCAGTAAGTATAATTTTCCAAAGTAAGGAGCATGCATAAGGTCTCTGACATAGGAGACCAAAAACTTGTTGTAACAGTGCGAGCTGGCAGTGAAGCAGGACCCGGATCGGTTCCAAGATCAAGAAGTACAGCATGACTGCTTCCATTACATGACAACACAAAGCAAGATGCAAGCGTTCACTGGGAGGATGGACAAGATGGCAGAAGAGAAACTAATGTAGAGAGCTCAACAGAGAAATACAAAAAAAACAATCAGCTCTTAGAGGAATGAGGCAACATTAGAAGTAGAACATAAGAAATAATGCTAAAAACTCAGTAAGGGACAGAGTGTGTTGTGAAAAAAGTACGCAGAATGGGGAAAAATAGTTTAAAAGGATTAGATAAGCAAGTCACATAAAAAGATCCAAAAAAGCCCTGGCCAGTTTGGCTCAGCAGTTAGAGAATCGGCCCACGGACCAAAGAGACCCAGGTTCAGTTCCCACTAAGGGCACGTACCTCAGTTGCAGTTTGTCCCTGGCCCCAGTTGGGGTTGTGTGGGTGGCACCCAGTTGATGTGTCTCTCTCACATCGATGTTTCTCTCTCTCTCCCTCCCTCTCTCCCTCCTGCTCCATCTGAAGATAAATGCAAAAATCTCCTCAGGTGAGGATAAAAAAAAAAAGATCCTAAAAAAACATAATTGAATGCTCCCTCAAATAAAATGGAATAGAATAAACACATAGAGATACAATGAAAGCAAACTTCTTGTAAATATAGTTTCACGCTGCACAGTACAAAGCCATACCTCGTCACAGAACAGAATGTTACATTCTGGTCACTACAACATGTGTCCTACTAAGGCTGCTGGAATTCAATGATAAAGAATGTCAGGCCACTAGGCAAAACTATTAAGGTCCCTTTAGGGGTTTAAACAAAACAATCAGGCTGACCTCAGACTTCTGTACTGCATTATCCAGCCCTAGAGGGCAGAGGAAAAATCCCTATAAAGTACTCAAGGAAAGAATGCAGAAGCCAAAACAATTCTTTATCAGCCAAACTACTGCTAAAGTACAGGATTTCTGGGAAATAATTTTAAGCAGGTGAAAAATGAAAATATTAGTCCTATAAGATCCCCTCTCTTTACTTAAAAATTTAAAAAAATACTTAAATCATGGCCCAATTGGTGTGGCTCAGTGGTTGTACACCAAGAGGTTGTCGGTTTGATTCCCGGTCAGGCCACATGCCCAAGTTATGGGCCCAATCCCCAGTGTAGGGCATGTTCTCTCATTGATGTTTCTATCTCTTTCTCCCTCTCCCTTCCTCTCTCTCTAAAATAAATAAAGAAAAAAATCTTAATAAAAAAACAAACAAAACTTAAATCATTGCCCTGGCTGGTTTTTGCTCAGCAGTTAGAGCATCAGCCTGTGGACCAAAGAGTCGCGGGTTTGATTCCAGTCAAGGGCAGGTACTTCACTTGTGGTTCATCCCTGGACCTAGTAGGAGTTGTGCGGGAGGTCAATGTGTCTCTCTCACATCGATGTTTCTCTTTCCCTCTCCCTCCCTCCCACTCTGTCTGAAGATAAATAGAAAAATGTCCTCAGGTGAGAATTAAGGGGAAAAAAAAGAAAAACTTAAATCATTAATAAAAAAGGATTTTTAAAATTGATTTTTAGAGAGAGAGGGAGAAGGAAAGAGAAAAATATCATGTGAGAGCAACACATTGATCGGCTGCCCCCTGCACCCCCTCACGGGGAACAAAGCCTGTAATCTAGGCCTGTGTGCTAACCACGACCAAACTGCAACCTTTCAAAGCACTCGACCACTCCCAACAAAATGAGCCACACTGGTCAGGCTAAATCGCTTCTAATGATCAATTACAGTTGACATACAATATTATATTAGTTTTAGGTGTATACCCCAGTAATTAGACATTTTATAACTTACTAGAGAGACCATCCCAATAAATCTAGTACCCATTTGACACCACACATAGTTATCAGAATATTCCTGACTACATTCCCTGTGCTATACACCCCATGACTATTCTGTAACTATCAATTAGTGCTTTTTAATCCTTTCACCATTTTTACTCATCCCCCTAACCCTCTCCCATCTGGCAAATGTCAAAATGTTCTCTGTATCTGTTTCTGTTCTGCTTCTTTAAGATTCATTTATTCATAGATACTCACTTATTGCCGTTTTATTGTTCATATTTTCGATTTCCTTCTTCTCAAATAAGATCCTCAAATATTTCTTGTAATACTGGTTTGCTGGTGATAAACTCCATTAGCTTTTTCTTGTCTGGGGTGCTCTTTATCTGTCCTTTGATTCTAAATGACAGCTTGGCTGGGTAGAGTAACCTTGGCTGTAGGTCCCTGCTTTTTATCACTTTGAATATGTCTTGTCAATCCATTCTGGCCTGTAAAGTCTCTTTTGAGAAAATAGCTGAGTCTTATGGGAGCTCCCTTGTAGACAACTAACTGCTTTTCTCTTGCTGCTTTCAAGGCTATCTTTAACCTTTTAATTATGATGTGTCTTGGTGTGGGCCTTTTGGGGTTCATCATATTTGGGACTCTCTGTGCTTCCTGGACTTGTATGTTTATTTCCTTCACCAAGTCAGGGAAGTTTTCTGACATTACTTTTTCAAGTAGATTTTTTTTTTCTTTTTCTTTTACATTTCTTACTTTTCTTTTGTTCGG